GTATGGGGAATATAACCAAAATGAAAATGCATACATTGTGCAAAGATGAAAAAAGATGTAAGAATTATATAAAATAAAATATTTAAATTAAAAAAGTTAAAAAATAAATAGATATAATTATAGCAAGAAAAAAAAAAGAATGTACTTTTGATACAATATGATGAAAATGGCATGTCCCCTCTGGGATTTTCCTTTAAAGTCCCATAACTAACCTCAATTTAATCATGAGGAAAAAAAATTAATTCTAATGAAGAAATAGTCTACAAAATCTCAACCAGTATTTCCCAAAACTGTCAAGGTAATCGAAAAATAGGAAAAGTCTGAGAAATTACAGGCAAGAGGAATCTAAGAAGACCAGTAGACGTAATGTGTTTTCTTGAAAGATACTGGAGCAGAAAAAGACATTAGGTGAAGATTAAAATAAAGTATGATCTTTAGTCAATAATAATGTATTAATATTGGTTGATTCATTGTATTAAATAAATGACATTAAAATGGGAAAACATTAATAATGGGAAAACGAGCATGGGGTATATGGAAATTTTCTGTATTATCTTGCCAATTTTTCAATAAATCTAAACTGTTCTAACATAAAGAAAAAAAGAATGTGGTACATATACACAATGGAATATTACTCAGCAATCAAAAAAGATAAACTCATGCAATTTGCAGCAACATGGATGGAGCTAGACAGGATCATGCTCAGCGAAATAAGCCAGAAAGAAAAAGAAAAATACCAGATGCTCTTACTCATAGCAGGAATTTAGAAAAGCTAAATAAGGGACCAGGAAAAAGACTAATTATAATAAAGTAAAAATCAAAATCAACAAGCAACTATAAATCAGAGACACACTACAAGGGTGAGGGGGAGGGAGTAGGGTCAAAATAAGGGGGGTGGGAATTGTATGGGGAATATAACCAAGATGAAAATGCATACATTATGCAAAAATGAAAAATGATGTAAAAATATATAAAATAAAATAAACCACAAAAATAAATAAATAAATAATAAAGCAAAAAAAAGGCAAAATAAAAAAAAAGCAATTGGTTAGACATTGAAAAAAAAAAAAAGAGTGGATGGAGAACAGCCAGTGTCAGACTATTTTTCTTACCTCTCGATTAAGACTAGGCCCTGCTCTAATAAGTACTCAGATTTTACAGATAGTGGCAAGGAAACTTAGGCAGAGGCCTATACCCTGTGCCCTTTCTGGGTCCTAAGTTAGAGATTGCTAACTAGATTTAGACTGTTTTCCTCTCTCAGGTTTCCAAACAGTCCCCTGACTTGCCTGGTGGGAAATTTTTTTTTTTTAATATTTTATTTTATATAATTCTTACATCATTTTTCATTTTTGCACAATGTATGCATTTTCATTTTGGTTATATTCCCCATACAATTGCACCTCCCCCCTAATTTTGACCCTAATCCTTCCTCTCCTCGCCACCCCACCCCCATAGTGTGTCTCTGGTTTATAGTTGCTTGTTGATTGTGATTTTCACTTTGTATTAATTAGTCTTTTTCCTGGCCCCTTATTTAGGTTTTCTAAATTCCTATGAGTGAGACCATCCGGTATTTTTCTTTTTCTTTCTGACTTATTTCGCTGAGCATGATCCCTTCTAGCTCCATCCATGTTGCTGCAAACTGCAGGCATGAGTTTATCTTTTTTGATCGCTGAGTAATATTCCATTGTGCATATGTACCACATCTTCTTGATCCAGTCATCTATTTTTGGGCATTTGGGTTGTTTCCATAGCTTAGCTATTGTAAATAGTGCTGCTATAAACATAGGGGTGCAGGTGCCCTTTGGAATTGATGTTTCTGTGTCCTTTGAGTAAATACCTAGGAGTGGAATTGCTGGATCATATGGAAGCTCTATCTTTAGTAGGTTGAGGAATCTCCACACAGCTCTCCATAGTGGTTGGACCAGTTTGCACTCCCACCAACAGTGCAGCAGAGTTCCTTTTTCTCCACAACCTCGCCAACATTTGTTGTTGCTAGTTTTTTTAATATGTGCCATTCTCACTGGTGTAAGATGGTATCTCATTGTAGTTTTGATTTGCATTTCCCTGATTACAAGTGATGTTGAACATTTGTTCATATGCCTGTTGGCCATTTGCATTTCCTCTTTGGAGAAGTTTCTTTTTTAGCTCTTCTGCCATTTTTTGACTGGATTATTTACTTTGTTTTTGCTGAGTCTCTTCAGCTCTTTGTAGTTTTTTGTGATCAGTCCTTTATCATTACTGTTGCGTACAAAAATGTTCTCCCAGTCGGTGGGGTTTCTCTTTGTTTTGGTTACTGTCTCTTTTGCTGTACAGAAGCTCTTTAATATGATGTAGTCCCAACTTTTTATCTTTGCCTTCAGTGTCACTAGGATACCTTGAAGTTCTCTGTTCTCCAGACAACCCTAGTTCAGTTTACTCAGAATTTTTAAAAAACACTTTTTTAAATGTTTACTAAAAAATTGAAGGGGAAAAAAATACCCACAAAAACGTACACATGAAATGGATACATTTACAAAATACAGATTCTTTTTTTTATGATACCTAAGGACTAAAGTAGATTCGTTTGACCATTGGACTTCCTTTCCTTCAATCCTATTGCTCTTGAATGCTAGACGCTTTGACTTTGCCAATGGACTCTAAGTTACTAGGTTTGGTGGAATTCTCAGTTCATCTTTAAAGCTGTCCCTCTCCCTGGTCTTCTTTTTTTTTTTTTTTGTGGGACCCTCGCCGGTGGCCGGGTATTGAACTGGCGTTGCAGAGGCTACGAGCAGCCTCGCAACCCAGCACTCAACCGCTGCGCCACCAACTCCCTGGTCTTCTTATTGGGTTTAGGCTCCAGGTTTTCCTTCCTGCTCCTGAATTGTGGTTATCTCTGCAAATGTGTTCACACTCACCTTCTAAGTGAGAAGAATATTTCACCCTCACGGTGTCACAAATTCCTACCCACTTTGGATTTAGACCAAACCACCATGTTAGTTTACAGATAACATCTCTACCCTTCTTGTTAGTTTCTGGAAAAATAAGTTGTTGGAACTCTTCTCTTGCTCCTGACCCATTTCTATCTTATTTGATTTATTCATTCATGTAATATTTATTATCATCTGTGTGCCAGGAAATGCACTAAATGTTTGCCATTGCTGTATTATATAAGTATTGTGAGAATTCACTGATTTAGTCACTGTTTCAATAAATATTTATTGTATGCCTAGAAGTGCTATCCTAGGTATTGTGCTAAGTGTTAAGTTGTTAAGTATTATTCCTACTTTTTCCTTCAATGAGACATGTAGCTTGCCACAATTTATTCCAAATAACAATCAGCCAAACTAGGACTCCAAGCCATGTTTTTTATTTTATTTTATTTTAGATTTATTTTATTTATTTATTCATAGAAGAGCTGGGGTATAGGCCAGAGGTGCGGGGCATGAGAGAATTCACCAGAGACAGTGGAGAGTAGAACAAGCAGATTGACTGAAATACACTGCTAAAGGAAACAACAGGCAAGACAGGCGAGGTCTGCTGAGGCATGTGGATTAGCTCCCTGGCTGGGGACTAGACTCAGGCCATAGTGGTGATAGCACTGAGACTTCACCCCTAGGCCTCCAAGAAGGCCCCAACCTTGACAGTCTTAAGGTGTACTGGCCAGGTATTCTATAAAGTGACCCCCAACCTGGGTCTTTTTGATGTTTTTCTCATGAGTAGATTGAGGTCATGGGGTTTTTGAAAGTATACAACAGAGGTCAAGTCCTTTTCATCAGACCCTACCAGGGAATACATGACATCACTGGCATTGTTCACCTTCATCTCTTAGTTAAGGTGGTATTCACCAAGTTTCTTTAGTTTCTCTATCCTTTGAAAATAAGTCACTAAGTCTAGCCCACCCTCAGTGAGAATGAGTATTTTTTTATAGATTTACTTATGCATGCAAGAACTGGGATGTGTACTCCAGAGGTGTGGGGATGAGAGAATTCATCAGAGACAGAGTGGGGAGCAGAACAGGCAGATGTACAGAAATACACTGCTGAGGGGAACAGCAGGTGAGACAGGAGAGGTCTGCTGCGCCATGTGGGTAGCTCCTTGGCCGTGGATGTAACTTGTGCTGCAGTGACTGCTGATAGCTTCATAGTGCTGAGACTTAACCCTTGTGCTTCCAGGGAGGTCCGAGAATGAGTATTAAACTTCATCTCCTAAAGGGGAAAATATCTACACATAATATTGGAAATTGTTCTGTTAGAAAAGTAAGTCTGTTTTCCCCACTGATTTAATAAATTTTGTGGCAATATGTACTTATACTAAACCCTAATCTAAAGGGTTTAGATTAGAGTGGAGTGGAGGGGCTACACTACACAAGACATGACTCAGAACTATACTAAAGCATTGATTTCATAGAAACTTATTTCCAATTTAGAGAATTTTAAGTGGTAAGTTTGATAAGACTTGGTGACTTTGAGTGGAAGGCAGTGGTGGAAAAGGGGGTGTTTGAAACCATACTCTGATTTTGGGTTGAATAGCTGGAAATAAAATTTTGATTTTAAATACTAGCAAACAAGTATGAAGATTGGTGCTAAGCTTCAATAAAGCTCAACTTCTTCAGAGACTGTTTTTGTCTTGTTTTACTGAGTGTCCTGTTCTCCCAAGTCAGAGGAAGCTACTTTCTGACCGAAACACAGGGCCCCCTAGTGGAAAGGCCCCTGGGTCCTGTTTCTTATATGAAGGACCTTTGTGTTTTGTTTTTGTAGGGTTTAGGGGCTTTTACCTAGTTCATTTGCAGAACAGAGATGCTTGATTCTGTCTTCTGTCTAGCAGATCGTTAAACCCTTTCCATTTTAGAATTACCATTTTACCCCCATATGACCTCATGTTCGATAAGAGGATTGTTGCCCTCTAATACTCATTCCCTTACTCTAGTATTCTGAGCCAGAAGATTCACATACTTGTTTTTTTTTTTTTTTTAAACTCATTTATCCATCTGGTGCTATATTAATGTTAATTCTTTGTTTCAGAGCCATCATCAACCACTTTAACCCCAAAATTGAATCCTACGCTGCTGTGAATCACATATCCCAACTGTCAGAGGAGCAGGTAAGCCTCTACTCTCTCCATAGTGACCTAGTTGGTGGCTCAGATCAAGCAGTTGCAGTCTTTCTGATGGCAGAGGAATTCTGTGACTGAGTTTCCAGTGGGAGTGGCAAAAGCCAGGCTGCTAAGAGGAATTAGTAAGGGATTTGTTGATAGTACTTTAAATAGAGTGGTGGTTTCTGCTTTGTGTTATATGAGGGAGTTGTTTAATTACATAGAAGATATGTAGGTGAAAATGTGGTGAATTATTATTTTAAAGTGGGTGATAAGGCATTTCTTTTTAACATTTTAGGCAGAGAATCATTTGATTTTTGAAAATAAGAAAGGAGAACTTAGAAATGGATGAAACAGTCAGTTAGAAAATTCTTGAGCTCAGTTTAATTTAAGACTGTTTGGCTTCCCTTTAAAACATGAGCCCTTGCTGGTACAGATTTTCCTTAGTAATTGAGTTCTGTTTGCCTTGAGCAATTATTTTTGAGCAGATTTTTCTGTGGTGTGGACTAAGTTGGAGATGCAGATAGTGTTGTGTGTTTGTTTTCCTTGAGTCTGGCCTGATTTCCCCTTTTCCCAAAGTGCTTGCACTTGGCTCTGTATTATATAAAAGTACAAATGGGGCTTTAACATGGCATGGGATTGAACTTGATGCTGCAGAATGAGACTCTTGAGTCCTAAAAGTACAAAAGCACAAAATGAGATATCCTATTAACACAATCCTCCTTCTTCCCCCATTATTCCCCAGTTGAAGGGGCCAGGGTATTCCAGAGGTGAGAATCTAGGTAAAGACTCCAAGTTAATTAAAAAACAAAACAAAGAAAGAATATATGCTGTGCTCTCCCTTCTTTGCCAGTGTATGGTTGTAACCTTCTCTGAGCCTTTTGCTGGCTCACAGCTATGCTGTGCCCATGTATTCCAATGTTCCTGAAAGCTATTCAGCTATTCAGCTCTCCCAATGAGGCACCAAGCAAGCCTTTTTCCCTAACACACAGACTTCTCAGTATTCTCTCCAGTGGCTCTTTCCTCAGCCAGATGGATAGGACACTGTTAGTCTATCAGTTGTTCCTTTTGACATATTTGTTCTCTTTTGTGAGGCCAGCTGTGAGACTCCATCCTCATATTTAAACTGCTTTTATGAATGGCTTTCATTTTCTTTTTTCTTCTTCTGCCTGTGGATCAGTCATGAGTTCCATTTTTTGATGCTGCTGTTCCTCTGTGAGGTGCTTCAAGATGCTACTCTTCCTGTTGGGTCAGTTTAAATCAGTGTTTCTCTATCATTTTTATGCAAATGAATTCAACATCTTGAGTTTTGTACAGTGAAAGGGTGACTTTCCAACCACAGTAAGCTGTGGTTAGTTTAAAAGCTTTAAAGGAAAAAAAAAGAAGACACATTTTCCCTGTCAGCCACGTGCAGTTTTCATCCCCCAGCAGCTTGGGAAGGTCAAGCTGAAATCTTTCTACAGCAGTTGCAGCCACAGACCAATAATAAAAATCCATTCTGGTGCTGAAGGCAATCTGGAAAGGGATGATTAGCAAGCACGTGTCCTCACCCTCCTCCAACTTCTTTCAAAGTTAAATGAAGTGATGAAAGTGCCTCTCAAAGAGTCTACAAATCAGAGATGAAGCTATTTTTATTGATCTGTAGAGGGAGAATCCATGGTCTTATTTGGGAATCTGGAAGGGATAGAAGCTCTCAAAAGATTTATTTACTTAGTCAAGAAATAATTATATGCCTCCCCTATACAGGTGTGGGGTTGGATAGTGGGGAATCAGTGGCGAATAATCTAAATGTGTTCTTGCTCCCACACTCCTGACCAATCTTACCAATCTTCTTGCTTAGGGAGGAGGAAAGGGTGATACTGTTAGTTGTTGCTTCTCTTCCCTGACTTTGAAGGGTGCTAAATGACAGCATTAGGATATACTTAGCTTTATTCTCAGCACTATCAGATTAGAAATATTTGACTGCTTTGTGAATCATGTGTGGCAGCACTTCTCTCTCTTCACTTATGAACACTAATACTAATATTAATATCACTTAATGTTAAGTGTATTCACACCTTCTCCAAGAGCTGGCTGTGGGATGCAGTAGGGCCTGCTGTTGTTAGCAGCAAACTAAATAAAAAGAAAAAAATTAGGAACTTAATCCCCAAGTTGATTCTAAAGTACTCCTAAAATAAAACCTAAAGACCATGGATGGGAGTTAACTGGAATTTATAACACTTAATAAGATGGCAAACAAGAGAGGACTCTTTGCTAGATCTGCCTGCCCAGCCTGCCGTTTTCTCTGGCAAGAGACTGGTGATTTTTTAATTTCTGACAACCCCTAGATACATTCTAGCCTCTATTTGAGGCATTTCAACTTGATGATTGTAAATTCATTATTGCTAAATTTATTTATTTATTTTTTTTATAGAGGCATGTTTTTATTTATTTATTTATTATATTTGTTTGTTTTGTTTATACATGCACTGGGTACAGTCAGAAGCGCGGGAGGGTGAGAGAATTCACCAGAGCCAGAGTGGGGAGCAGAGCAGGCAGAAGGACTGAAGTACACTGCTGAGGGGAGCAGCGGGCGGCAGGAGAGGTCTGCGCGCCATGTGGGACCCTCCTCTGGTGGCCGGGGAGCAGCCGGGGATCGAACCGGCGCCGCAGAGGCCGCAGGCAGCTTCGCAACCCAGGGCTCAACCGCTGCACCACCGGGGAGGCCCCATTATTGCTAAATTTAAAAAGCCCAGTGTTTCAGTGTTTCACACTGGGGTTTCTTTTCAGATGTCCAAAAGATAAATGACATTTTTTTCCTATTAATTCTCACTGGCTTCGAGGAGGATAAAGCTGTTTAATCACTTAATACCCTCAGCATGACTGAAAGGCTGTGCATTTTGTAGTATAATAAATTGCTTGCATTTTTATATCAATACACAGGTATCATATTTATCTGGAGTTGATTGTAAAGTTTGTTCATTTAACTCCTTTTTGTGTATGGTAAAATATACATAAAATTTACCATCTTAATCATTTCTAAGTATACAGTTTACTCGCATTAAGTACCTTCATGTAGTTGTGCACCCATCACCACCATCTAGCTACAGAACGTTTCATCTTCCCAAACTAAAACTCTGTTCCCATTAAACAGTATCTACCCCCATCTCTCCTCCCTGCAGCCCCTGGTAACTACTGTTCTACTTTCTGTTTCCTTGTATTTGACGACTCTAGGAATCTCATGCAAGTGGAATCATACACTATTTAGAGAATTATTGAGTACTCTGGAACTGTGTGTAAAATATGTACCTATCTTTTTTTCTTTAAGAGGGCCCATCATTCACAAAATTTACAACCAGTATTTGACACAAACCTGCAAATTTCTTCCTTAAGAATCACTAGCTTTGGTGGGCCTCCCCGGTGGCGCAGCGGTTGAGCGCTGGCTTGCGAAGCTGCCCGCGGCCTCTGCCGCGGCTGCTCCCCGGCCACCAGAGGAGGGTCCCACATGGCGCGCAGACCTCTCCTGCCGCCCGCTGCTCCCCTCAGCAGTGTACCTTGGTCCTTCTGCCTGCTCTGCTCCCCGCTCTGGCTCTGGTGAATTCTCTCACCCTCCCGCGCTTCTGACTGTACCCAATGCTTGTATAAACAAAACAAACAAACAAACAAATAAATAAATGAATAAAAACATGCCTCCATTAAAAAAAAAAAAAGGGAGCTCTCGCTCCTTCCCGCCGCCATCGCGCTGTGTGCGCTTACCTCTTCCCCGCCATGTCTTCTCACAAGACTTTCAGGATCAAGCGATTCCTAGCCAAGAAACAAAAACAGAACCGTCCCATTCCCCAGTGGATTCGGATGAAAACTGGTAATAAAATCAGGTACAATTCCAAGAGGAGACACTGGAGAAGAACCAAGCTGGGTCTGTAAGGAATCGCACGGAGATGGCGCGCATATTTATGCTGTATTGAGATCAGTAGCATCTACCATGTCAGTAAAAACATCACTGCTTTGTGGACTTGTGTTCTCTTGGTACACCTCTGTACCTGGCTCTGTAATAAATATGTGAGCTGTTTAAAAAAAAAAAAAAAAAGGGAGACCCTCCTCTTTAAAAAAAAAAAAAAGAATCACTAGCTTTGGGCCTCCCTGTGGCATAAGAGGTTAAGTCTCAGCACTATAAAGCGATCCGCAGCCAGCTGCTGTGGCATGAGTTCTATCCCCAGCCAGGGAGCTGACCCACATGGCACAGCAGACCTCTCCTGTCTCACCAGGTGCTCCTCTCAGTAGTGTATGTCAGTAGATCTGCCTGTTCTGCTCCCCACTCTGTCTCTGGTGAATCCTCTCACCCCTCCTCCCCCACTCTTATGGCCTACACCCCAGCTCTTGTGTGCATAAATAAATAAAATAAATTTTTTTTTTTTAGAAAAAAAGAATCACCAGCTTTAGCTGCTTTGAATAGTAGCTCATACTTTCATGCCCCCAGTGCTATCAGATCTTTGAAAATGCCCCTTGAGGTTCTTGAGTTCCTTTTAGGCTGTTCACTATTTGTTTAGTTTTATAAATGCTTTTTTTTTTTTAATTTTGTTTTTGTTTGTTTTTGTTTTTGTTTTTTTAAAGATTGATTTATTTATTTATACAAGCACTGGGTACAATCAGAGTCAGGGGAGGGTGAGAGAACTCACCAGAGCCAGAGCAGAGAGCAGAACAGGCAGAGTGACGAAGTACACTGCTGAGGGGAGCAGCGACAGCAGGAGAGGTCTGCGTGCCATGTGGGACCCTCGCCCGGCGGCTGGGGATTGAACCTGCGCTGCAGAGGCTGCAGGCAGCTTCACAGCCCAGCGCCCAACTGCTGCGCCACCGGGGAGGCCCAATGCTTTTTTTTTTTTTTTTTAAGAAAAAAATTATTTATTGAGCCTCCCTGGTGGCACAAGGGGTTGAGCACAGCACTATGAAGCTATCCACAGCCTCTGCAGCATGAGTTCGATCCCTGGCTGGGGATTTCAGTGTATTTCAGCACATCTTCCTGTTCTGTTCCCCACTCTGTCTCTGGTGGATCCTCTCACCCCCTGTACCTCTGGCCTGTACCCCAGTTCTTGTATGCATAAATCAATCAATCTTTTTTTTTTAAGATTTATTTATTTAGTTATACAAGAACCGGCATACAGGCCAGATGCGTGGGAGGGTGAGAGGATTCACCAGAGACAGAGCAGGGAACAGAACAGGCAGACTGATGAAATACACTGCTGAGGGAAGCAGTAGGCGCGACAGGAGAGGTTTGCCACGCCACGTGGGACCCTCGCCGGCCGACCTGCTAGAATCAAACCAGCGCTGCAGAGGCTGCGAACAGCTTCACAGCATCGCGCTCAACCGCCTGCACCACCAGGGGAGGCCCAATAAATAAATCTTTAAAAAAAAAAAAAGAACTTCAAGTTTTATGAGGAACATGGAGCCCGACACTTCAGCTGTGCACTTTTTGGCCCTTATTGTGCTTGGTCATTATTGAACAACGGCAGAGGGTGTGGGTGGTAGGCATGAGTGCTTTCGCCACAGCTACCAGAGTGAAGCCAAGTGGCTCGCGCAGGGCTTGAAATTTTAATCATCATCTCTCATAGGCCAAGGGTGTGGGAGAGGCAGCTCCAGCACACTGCTGGTTGTTGAGGAAGACTGCTAGTGTGGCTTTCTGAGTGGGAGGTGAGTGTAGTTCACTTTTCCCATGGGCACCACCTATATAAAGGTCTCCCCAGAGCAATCACCTCTGAGATCCCTGTGATGTTTTCTCATCTTAGAACAGGCCTTAAACACCATGCAAGGCACCCTTGGCAGAGACATCTGCTGGAGAGCTGAGATTTGAGACACCCACAATAGTCATAACTCAGTTTCCTGTAATACAGCCTGTACTCTTTGCACTGCCTCTCTGTAGCCCTGAGTGATGGTTGCTGTGGGAACCCTTGTTGAGTGTGAGCATGTGACAAAGTGCTAGCTGTCTGACCCTGCTTCTCTTGTTGCTTCTGTTTAGATTCTGGAATTTTAGTTGACCTGTTTGGCAGAAAAAAAAGTTTGGTATGAGTTGTTTGTTCCCTGGATTCACTATAGCAGGAAAGATGCAGATTCAGAAGCAGAGGAATTTTCCTACAAGCTGCTTAATCTCAGAAATCAACTTCATGTTATATATGGTATCTTACGATGTCCACATAAGAGGTTAAGCTCATTGTTTGCTGCTCAGATGATCATTCTTTTCCTGGGTACAGGAGATAAGCTGTCCTACCAGAGGCCCTAGATCAGGGGAGAATGTCTTGGATTTCAAATGGATGCAAATAAATAAAAGGAAAGGAACAGCTTGTAATTTTCAAGCTAGGCACTTTTACATAGGTTATTTACTTAATTCTTACATCAACTATTTGGGGTAAGGGCAATTATCTTTTTTTTTAGATGAGGATGCTAAAGAGACCAAGTAATTTATCCAAGGGCACACAGCTGTTAGTAGTAAAGCCATAATGTGAACCACGTCTGTCTAACTCCAAAGTCTGAGATTTTTCCATTTCCTCAGACTGGGGCATGTATAACAACCTGAGCTTGTCAGATTTTCTGAAGGAAGAGACAAGTCTAGGATAGGAAGGTGGAGGGATAAGCAGAAAGAGTGAAGATATCAGGAGAGTGAAGAACTTATTCCTGGGGCTTATGGACGTTCTTGGTTTGGGAAGAGTACTAAGCAGGGGCCTGTAGAGTTTGCCTGACCATTCAGCAGAATTGCCTAAGTAGAGGCCCCCTGGCACAGCATGATAACTTTATAAATGAGGGGAATCTTTATTCCACCCCAGCATGTCAGGAAGGTCACTGAATAATAAAACTTTTCCACATTCAAAGAGAAGATGGTGGGCCTCCCTGGTGGTGCAGCAGATTGAGTGCAGTGCTGTGAAGCTGTCTGCAGCCTCTGCAGCGCAGGTTCGATTCCCAGCTGGCCAGGGCGCTACCCACATAGTACAACAGACTTCTCCTGTCTTGCCCACTGCTCCCCTCAGCAGTGTATTTTGGTCCGTTTGCCTGTTCTGCACCCCACTCTGTCTCTGGTGAATCCTATCACCCTCCCACACCTCTGACCTGTATACCAGTTGTTGTTTTAAAAATAAATAAATCTTTTAAAAAAGAGAGAAGATGGTAGCTTTTGAAATAGTTTTTATTTAATAGATAACATATTTATGTGATTTAAAATCTAAAAGGTAGGGGCCTCCCCAGTGGCGCAGCGGTTGAGCGCTGGGTTGCGAAGCTGCCCGCGGCCTCTGCAGCGCCGGTTCGATTCCCAACTGCTCCCCGGCCACTGGAGGAGGGTCCCACATGGCGCGCAGACCTCTCCTGCCGCCCGCTGCTCCCCTCAGCAGTGTACTTCGGTCCTTCTGCCTGCTCTGCTCCCCGCTCTGGCTCTGGTGAATTCTCTCACCCTCCCGCACTTCTGACTGTACACAGTGCTTGTATAAATAAATAAATAAATCTAAAAAAATAAAAATAAAAAATAAAAAAAAAATCTAAAAGGTAACATTAAATTTTAATTGTTTTTAAAATAGTTGTTCCAGGCCTCCCTGGTGGCGCAGGGCTTAAAGACGCAGACATTTCCTCGTTCACCCACTGCTTCCCACTCTGTCTCTGGTGAATCCTCTCACCCCCCTGCACCTCTGGCCTACACCCCAGTTCTTGTATGCTTAAATAAATAAATCCTTTCAAAAAATAAAAGAATTCCATTTTGTTTGAAAAAGAGCATACTTTAGACTCTCAAAATTAATGTTTCACAGCTGAGCTGGATGAATGTAAGGTCAGTGGTGAAAGAGCTCAGCTTATTATTCACCTCTGCCATTGTCAGCGTTTTCAGTATGAATTTTGAAATGCCCATCACATAGAATTCTGGTCATCTTCAGTGAAGCTTCATTGGCAGTGCATAGGAGAAATCGTTTTGGAGCTTAAAGGAATTCCAGTGGTTGTCAGCTTATTTTTTAAAGATTTATTTTGTTTATTTATGCATACAAGAGCTGGGGTGCAGGCCTGAGTTGGGGTGGGGGGTGAGAGGATTCACCAAAGACAGAGTGGGGAGCAGAACAGGAGGTGGATTGACTGAAGTACACTGCTGAGGGGAGCAGCAAGCAGGACAGGAAAGGTCTGCTGCACCATGTGGGTCAGCTCCCTGGCTGAGGATCCAACTCATGCTGTAGTGGCTATGGATAGCTTTATAGTGCTGAGACTTAACCTTGTGCCAACAGGGAGGCCCCATTGTCAGCATTTAAAGAGGTCACAGGAGACAGCAGTCCTTGCTTTCTTGGTTAAACCCAAGAAGGATCCTTTATCCCAGTTATTAATGATACACATAGGTAGCATTAGTGTACACATAAGACTTTTCTCTTCAGCTTGTTGTTAGCCACTATCCTTCTTCCAGAAAGATCTTTGGGAACTTTTTATTTCCACCATGACCTCTTTCCCAGGAGTTGGCTGTATGCTCTGCAAGCATACCTTACCACTGTGGTAACCTCAGAAACCAGAAGTATCCCCCAGGTAAACTTTTGTCTCTGTTTTAAGCTATTTTAATTGGAAAAGTTTTGGTTAAGTACCAACAGCTCTTTGATTTTTACAACTACTCAAAGGAAATTGTAATTTTAAAAGTGATGCACCCCACTAGAAGGGAAACTATAGCTAGACCACAAATTCTATTAAAGAATTCTGTTAAGAAGAAGTACATGATTCCTGGCAGGGTGGCAGAGATTCATATCAACTTGTGAGTTAGGAGTAGAGACAGGGTTTTGGGTTGTTTGTTTGGTTTGATTTCTTTTGGGTTTTTGTTTTGTTTTGTTTTTTGTTGGGTTTTTTTTTTTTTTTTTTTGGTCACCCTCTAAAATGTGATCTGTTTCCAAGGCAAGAAACCTCATGTGGGGAACACAAAACATCTGCCTCCTTGTTTGAGATGGATGGGTTAACCTGCTTGCAGCAAACCATAAAGAAAAAGGCCTGCTAGTATTTTGTATTCTGTTTCCCCCACTCCATGTACTCTGGCTGTCTCTTAGTGTGATTCAGTGCCTTGCTTATGCATGGTAAGGACCTGGGCATGTTGGATCTG